CAAACAAAACAAAACAAAACCAAACCCAAACGTATATACTGCTCTTGGGTTGAGACATTAGAAAAATGCAGTTTGTCTCCAAAATAGATTTTTCTGAATCCTCTCCACGTGTGTGATGCTCAAAGTGTGAAAATAAGTACCTTTGACAAGACTGTTAATTTTGCATTTTAAACTGTCTCTTTTAAGCTTTCCTAAAGAACCCAGGAATTCCAATAATTTTTTCATGTGGCACATGTATTCTTTCCTTATTGTTTAAATGAGGGGACTTTCCTTAGAGATCACTCTTCAGGGATACACTTTAGCAAGTGTGTAAATTTAAGAGTATGTGTCTTCCATTGAGGTCCCCGGAGCTTGAGAGGTGCTTAAAAGTAAACATGTGTTTAAGAGTTTTCTTTAAACAGCAAGGGCCATAATGTCTAATACATATGAAGTATTTGAGAGAACTGCAAAAGGCACAATATGTAATGAAAAGACTCAATGAAAATAAATGAGAGAAAAAGCTGTCTTCTACTATTACACAACTTCTTATCTGTATTTCCAGCGGGTGCCAGTCTCTAAAGATAAGTGTACTATACAGCTGCTAGTTTTGGCCGGTGTATTTTTTTGCCTGTATATTGGCAGAGAGTGCACTGTGTGGTGTAGTAGGCAATCCAGCATATCAAACAACTGTGCATTAAAACGGCTGCTATTACAATGCTGTATCTTCTGCAGTATACAAATTCATTACATAGAAAACTTCAAAACAAATAATAATTGAAAACTATGTATAGAGAAACTATTTACACCAAGACAAAATTATTGTAAACCATTTTGAGGTTTTAAATAACTTGTACTTTCCTTCTTAAGTGCCAGTGATTCCTACCCCTAGTAACTTCCTAGTAAAAACACTGGAAATAGTATATTTTCATATTTTATGAAGGTGATTATTTAGGAATACATTCAAATCTGCACCAAAATGTACTGTTAATACCAAGTTAAGATTTCAAATGTTTTCGTTCTGCTGAAATACATCTTAAGAGGAAGATATTTAAAAACTTGTGAGCATTATGTACTGACATTTTACCTTAATTTCCAGGAGAAGTTGTAACTGTATAGCAGCCACAGCCAGAAATGGGGTGGCAGGCTAGCCAGGACTGGAGTGAAGATGAAGTGACACTGGACTGGGCTGTTAAGGATGAAGATTGGAATTGGCTCGAAAAGGCTGTCCAGCCTGGGAGTTGCAGAAGGAAACTCAGCAGGTATGGGATTGGGACCAGCTGAAAAACTAGGGGAAGGTGGGAACAGTTTGGCGTGAAAATCAAGAGGATGGAAGATAGGGATAGGAACAAAGGGAAAAGGCAGAAAAATGAAACTGCCTGAGGTAATCCATCGAATCGAGGAGGGTGTGTAGGGAACATGAAATCGTAAATTGGCTGGGAGCTGGTACAGGGAGTAGGAGTGAGGACACAGAGCTCGAGTGCAGAAGGTGGTTGGAGGTTGTGTGAGTGAGAGAAGAGAGATGGATCTGGCAGAGGACAGGAAGAGAGAATTGGGTCTGGAAGGAGATATGTGGAAGTAGGAGTCAAGTGAGTCTTGTAGATAAATAAAGCTAGTATTTTATACTCCTGTCACTGAAATGTCTGAGCAGCTTTTTGCATAAAATGAGTAACAACCCCAGCTTCCCCTGGGTAATAGCAGGGGACCTTTCTCTGAGTTGAAACTAGACTAAGTCATTTGGATTTTTAGTCTGTGCTGTTGGGGAGGGATAGGAAAGAAATATTTCTTCTTTGATCAGAGACAATTTTGAGTTTGGTCATAAACTGTGAATACACCTCATAGTAGAAAACCTTTTTTAAATGAAAGATACCTGCCATGTTGCTTAAAAACAATCATACTCTGGACTCACTTATTCTCCTTTGTCCGGATAATCTCAAAAAAGGCACACTTCATCTGCTCTGCTGTGTTTTCTTCTGGGGCTTGTAATCTGTGCTGTTGCAAAGGGAAGCAGCTGCTGCGGTTGTTTGTAGATCTTCATGTGGCCCGTGATGTTACTGGGGTTGATCTGCATAAGGCCAGTGCCCTGTACCTGCGTCTGAAGCTGACTTGGAGTTCTTTGGAGGACTTGAGCTTGAAGCATTTGCTCTGAAGCAACAATTTTTTTTTTTTTTTCAGTAACAACTTTGAAACGGTATTTTCAGCTTGATACAGTGAGTTGTGACTAATTGAGCCTGATACGAAAAATACCTGCCTTCCTCTGCCAAGTCTTCTGGGCGAGATGAGAGAGAGGGAATTTCCCAAGCAGGTGAAGGTTAAAGAGAGTATTTTGGAATAGGTATGCCTCTTGGACAGCTAAAATTAGTATGAGCTGTGGAAATCAGCCCCTCTCTGCTGAATGAGGGCCGTGTACTTTCTGTGAAAGGTGCTAAAAAACATCTCAGACAACTTCTGATTTGAACGTTCCTCTTTTCTATCCTGCTTGAGAAGACTTGGGTCTCCTTTGATTCCAATCTGGACCAGCTGTTTTCCACCCCAACCTTATTTCCCACAGCAACGCGGCCATGTTTGAAGCAGCGGCGCTTACGCTGGGTGCGGATGAAGTGCCCCAGTTGTCCTTGGCACGCTAACGTCGGTTAAACCGGTGGAATCTCATTAGGTTACTTTTTTTTTTTTTTTTTTTTTTTTCATGGCTGCTTACAGACGCTGAAGGGTGGAAGGTCCCTGTGGTCTGCAGAGATAAAGGCCTTCGGAAAGGAGGAGTGGACGCTTATCAGCGCTGCCGCTGAAAGAAAACGTCTGGAGTCGTCTTTGCGTCGGGCTCTATTCGGCAGTGTCCCACGGGCACACGGAGGGCGTGCGTGGCGGGGCGTAAAGGGCTGCCCGGGGGTCGTGCCTGTTCCCTCAGCCCCGGGGAAGCAGGTTTTTAACGGCGTTAATCAGCAAGGCTGAAACGAAAAAAAAAAACAGAAGTTGATCACACTGGAATAGTTCTTCCCTTCTCAGGGCTCTTGGTCGGTTCCCGCTCAGGCACTTAACGCCGTGGTCCCGCCCGCGCTGTTCGCTGGGCGGTTCAAATCGGTCGGCGGGGCAGGCGCCCGCGGGGGGGGGGGGGGTCCCCGGGCGATGCCGGGGAGCCCCGCTCGGTCCCCGGTTTCCGGGCGGACGGCGCTGGGGTTCGCGGCGGGGCGGGGGCGGCCCCCCCCACACTCCCCGCCCCCGACGGCGCGTCATGGAATTCCAGGGCGCTTCCGCCAATGGCGGCGCCGCGCCAGCGAGCGGGGCACGCGTGGGAGCCTGCCCACGCGTGGCAGCGGCCGCCCCGGAGCCCGCCGGGGCCCGCAAGGGGTGACGGCGGGGAGCGGGGAAGGCGAGGCGGCTGCCGCCCGGGCGTTTGCCGGAGCTGGAGCTCGCCGGGGTGATCCATGAATTATTAACCTCGGAGCAGCCGGGAGCGAGCGCTGCCGGCTTTTTAAACTTTTTCAGCTGCTGGTGGTGGGGTGGGTGCGTTACGCTGGGTATTGATGCCAATTGCGGTGCCCTGGCTTTGAGAGTGTACAGGGCGTTTGCAAAGACTCCGCTGTGTCATACTGTACAGCTTTGAGTTCTCCTTTCTGCCCACCCGGTAAGGTGCTGTTCTCTCATGAACTACCATCAATAGACAAATGACTCCACTAATTATTCTGTAAGTAGAATTAAAGTCCTTTGTAGTTCCTTTTTCCTTGGCAGTCACCTCTCACAAACCGTAGGGTCAGAGGTGTATGCCTGATATGTCCACGCCAGCCTGTGTAGTGCAGCCCGGTGTGTTTGAGTACCAAAGCAGCCTATATGTATTTTAGCCAGGTGTTCTGCCCATGATAACACTCTTTCCTCATCAGGTTTGATTAGCCCTGAGCGAAATGCTCTGCTCACATGGCTAAACTACTGCTGCTGCTGGAGGTAGCTTGGATGTCTCTGCATAGAACTGCATTACATCATCGTTGTCCGTAATAAAGATTTTGCAAATCAAATACAGCTCTGTTTCATACCTAAATGACAGACAAGATGGTGGCACCAGTCTGCATGAGTACAGTATTCGACTCTGTAGTTGAAATGTAGTTAAGAAAATTGCAAGTGGCTGTTCAGTTGTGTTAGAGCAGAGGTTACTTTCCCACAGGGCATTTAGTTTCTGACATTAACAGAAAATACAGTAAGAGTGAATTTTCTCATTAAACAACATGGCAGCTGATACAACTGGACGGGATGGCGGTGACAGCGCAAAACTTGCAGTCGCTTTTCTAATAGCTGCGTTTCGAATTTGGAGTAGCTTGACGGCACCGGTACAGGGGCTGAGACTCCCCTTCCTTCCCAGGCCCCAGCTTTTCAGCGTGACCCACAGTTTGTGCCCTGCTCGGAAGCGACCTCGGCAGCCCCCTCCTGCCGCTCTGCTCTTACTTTGCAGGAGGAGGAAACCGGGAGATCCTCGCCGGGTTCGCTTCGAAGGGCCTGCTCGCAGTGAGAATTTAGGCGTTGCTTCTGCGTGAAAAAAGATCAAACCCCGCACCAACCCACCCCAAACCAGTAAGACGGGCCCTGAGGGGGACGGGGTGGGGGGGGGATGTGGAGGTGCCTTGTACTTTGCTGTGGGTGGGGGGCAAGAGCTCGGCCTCGCTCTCCGCGGCGCTGATCCACCCCCCCAGCCGGGTGCCGGCAGCCCCGCTCCCCCGGGGTTTTGTTTCCCGGGGCCCTGCCGTGCCTGCCGCCCCCCCCCCGCGGCGGGCAGGGGTGGGGGCCGCTGGCCCCGCCGTGGCCTCGGGCGCCCCCGGCCCGCCGGGAAGGGGGGGGGGGGGGTTCTTTTGGGGGCGGGGGGGCGGGTGAGGACAGGGGAGGAATCCCCCTCGCGCGCGCGGCGTGTCTTTTGTGTTTGTACACACGGCGCCCAGGGAGGGGGCGGGGCCAGGGGCGGGGCCGAGCCTTCCCTCCATTGTGCTCCATTGGCGGGCGGGCGGGGAGGGGGGCGTGACCGAGCGCGGGGCCGGCCCTCCCCCGTCGGCCATCTTTCAATTGTGCTCCGAGCCGCCGCCGCCGCCAGTAGCAGGAGCAGCACCAGCAGCAGCTCCGGCTCCTCCTCACGCCCGCCCTCCCTCCCTCCCCGCCCGCCCGCCCGCCCGCCCTCCCGCACGGCAGCCGCGCTCGCCCAGCGGACGGGGTAAGTCTGGCGCCGCGCCCCCCCCCCTCTTCCCGGCACCCCCCCACCCCACAGCGCCCCGCCACCCCCCGGCGGCACTCCGCCGCCCTCCCCCGACCCTCCCCACAAACTTTTAGGGGTGTCGGGAGGCGGCGGTCGGCTCGGGTCCCTTTCCCCGCGCTGCCTTCCCGGCGCAGCCGGAGCGGCTCCCTCCGCCGGCACCCCCGGCCCCGCTTCGCGCCGTCGTTGCCCCCCTCTGCTCCCCTCTCCCCCGCTCCAGACCCCCCCCAGCAGCCTCCCCAGCCCCTCAGCTGCCTCCTCAGCCCGGCATCCCCCAGATTGGGGCTGGGAAGCGGCCGCAAAGAGGAGCCGCTCGCCAGCCCAGGGTAACTCTGCTGCCTTCCTTCCCCTGCTCCCCACAGTTGTTGCTCAGCTTCACCATCTTGTCTCTTTTCTCTGGTCACCGACCATATTTTTTTTCCTATTGCATAAAAAACAATAAAAAGGGAAAGAAATTCACCGAAGGAACGACCCAAACCCAACGCAATTTTTTGGTTTTCAAGTGCAAACTTTTCCGCTGCCTCCCCCTTCGTCTGCACCCACATGGTTTGGAGTTCCTTGCGATTTTTTTCGGCGTTATTTTTTGCAATTTATTTTTTCCTCCTTTGCAAAAGGACTAGGGCTGCATTTCGTGATTGTTTCCATTTTGTTCTGGGTCTGGGAGATGAGTTTGCCTGTGAGAGGCGCTTGGGAGCGAGGCAGCTTTGGGGAAGCAGTTACACAGAAAGAGAAAGACGGCACCCAAAAAGCAACAACACCCCCCCCCCCCCAAAAAAAAAAAAAAAAAAAAAAGTTTGTTGCTTTCTTGCACTTGATCCGGACCCTTTTCGCACGGTAAATGCCGATTTGCCGGGGCGCGGGGGGGGGGCGGCGGCGAGGCCCGGGCTGCCTGGCGGAGGGTGTGGGGGGGCTGCTGCTCCCCTCTCGCTCGCTCCGCAGTTTCGGAGGAGGTTTCCTCCGGTTGGGGAACGGCGGGTCGGGCGCCGGCTCCCCCTTCCACCCGGGGATTCGCCGGGCGGTATTTGCAAACACTTCGCAGGTGACGGGCGGCCGGCGGGGGGGAGGCGGCAGCCGCCTCTCCGCGCCCGCCGGCTCGCTCGGCTTCAGCCACCGCGCTGTCGAATTCGTGAGCAAGAAAACCTGTATTTTAATATTCCGCCATCGGTAGACGTTTAATTTCTATTTTTTTTTTTTTTTTTTTTTTTCTCCTTCCGCTCTTTAGCGAACGGAGGCGTTAAGCGGCCGCGGAGGCTCTAACGGCTCTCCCCGCCGTTCAGCGGCCGCGGGCAGGGACGCGGGGTGGGGGGGGTGTGTGTGGGGGGGTGCAGGTGTCGGCGGGGGCGTGCGCTGAGCGGGGCGGCCGGCCCCTCTCCCTTCCCTCCCCCACCCTCCGTGTGTGTCCGTCTGTCCGTCCGTGTCCCGTGTGTGTGTCTGTCCCCCCCCCCCTCCCGCAGGTGTAAGGCAGCGACGTCGGCAGGAGCATGGCCCGCACCAAGCAGACCGCCCGCAAGTCCACCGGCGGCAAGGCGCCCCGCAAGCAGCTCGCCACCAAAGCCGCCCGCAAGAGCGCGCCCTCTACTGGCGGGGTGAAGAAGCCGCACCGCTACCGGTAACGCAGCGCCGCGCGCAGGCGGCCGCGGGAGCGCGCACGGCACCCCCCCCCCCCCTCACCGCCCCCCCCCCCCCTCGCGGGGCCGGGCGGGGCGGGGGCTTCGCCGCTCAGCCGCCGCGCTCCCTCCGCGGTGGGGCGCGGGTCTCCCCCAAAAAATAATTAAAAAAAAAAAAAAAAAGAAAAAAAGAAAATAAGAAAAATTATAAATGCCCAGCGTGCATGCGTTGACCCCGGATTTACCCCTTTCCGAGCGTTTTGGTGCTGTTGCCTGAAAAATAAACGCCACCCCCCTTCCCTACGGTGAACGCGGCTTTGCGATTTTTATTTTTTTTTATTATTATTTTAAAAAATTATTTATTCTGATTATCTAATTGCTGCATCAGGGTTGCGCCGCCGCGAAGTTTATTGTTACCGGCGTATCTTAATTTACTTGTATGGGTTTGATCCGTCCTCGGCACCGCGCAGGGGAGGCGATTGGCCACGCGAGGGCGCGATGTGTCCACGGATGCGCAGGGGCCTCCCCGAGCAGCCGTCCCTGCTCGGTTGTCCCAAATATAGATGTTTGTGCACGGGAGGATGTAGGCTAGATTGGGCGGCGGATCTTTTTGAACAGCCCTCTGATAATGAAGTTTTTTGGTCCTTGCTCGGTGCGGGATGGTAACAGCCCTGCTTCGGCTTGGAGGAGGATGGGCTTGGGCTAGGTGTGCCTGCTCCCTGGGGGAAAAGTGAAATGGGAAGGAGGAGCAGGTTTGAAATGGCAAACTTAATCTAAAAGTCTCTTGCTGTAGGCGTGAGGCAGAAGTAAGCAACTGGGGGATAGGTGATAAAGCTGGAGTAGGAAAATACAGAGTGTTCACAGAAATAAATGTGGTATTAATTTCACCAGTGGACTTTGCAAAAGTACGTTGCTAATACAAATTTGTCATTCTGACACCTAACCTAACACAAGGAAACACGCTACATACTTTGTACTGATAATATAACACAATATAAATTCTGTCGGTTCTGTGGATGTTGAGTGTCTTATATCACTAGGGAAGAACAACCAGATTCCCCCTAAAATCGTGCCTGCTGTCGGGCGTGGAGGGTGCCTGTGGTACAGCCGACCCAGCCAGCCCGTGGCAGCGTTGGGGTTTGCCACGTCCGCACCGAGGTGTGCCGGTGGCTGGTGGCTGGTGGCGAGCGTGGGAAGCGAGAGCCATCCCCGGGGAGGCCGGTGGAAGTTTGCGCAGGTCAATGGTGGGAGAGAAGTGACTCTTTGCTGGTGAAACTGGTTGTGTGTTGTGAACGCTGGGACTCTTCTGGTGAAAGCTGAATGTGTGTGGTGCTTTGTCCAGTTTAGATGATGAGCCGTATTTTCAAGGTAATGGAGAATATGTTTTGAATACTAATTTTTTTTTTTTTTCTTTCTTTCTTAATTTAATTTTATAAGGCCGGGTACCGTGGCTCTCCGTGAAATCAGGCGCTATCAAAAGTCCACTGAACTTTTGATCCGCAAACTTCCCTTCCAGCGCCTGGTGCGTGAAATTGCTCAGGACTTCAAAACAGATCTGCGCTTCCAGAGCGCTGCCATCGGTGCTTTGCAGGTGAGCGTTAGTTACCTGGGCTGGGGGGGGCCAAGGCTGCCTGTCAGGGGGCAGGGGCCGGTGCTGGGAGGGCTGTTGTAAGGACACCCCCTGCTTCCCCCCTTTCCTCCCCGCCCCCCCCCCAAAAAATCCCCCAAACCTGGAGACTGAAGGTACGGGGAGGGCTCCGCCTCCCACCCCCATTGGCCAGGCTGTTTCTAGGGTTAGTCCCAGCTCCGCCTGATTGGTGGGCTGCCGCGGTGGGCGTGGCCCCTCCCGGGACCGGGGCGGGGGGGGCGGTATGGGGGGGGATGTGCCCCTCAGCCTTTCCTTGCTCAGAGTGGACCTGGTGGTGCCCTATAGATACCATAGGTTAAAGTAACACAGTGACAGGTCAGCAGCGCCTTACAAAGGCTGTGTGGTTGGGGGTGTTGGTGCCTGTGAGTTGCTTTTTGGATTGTTTCTGTTTGCTTGCTTTTTTTTTTTTTTTAAGAGCTCCCCCACCCCTCAAGTAGTTGCACTTGACAGAACAGTGCATCCTATTAAGACATTTAAGATCAATCTGTTTCCTCTATCCTCCAGCTTTCTTGGAGGCTTTGCCTTTGAAAGCTACGCAGTCTGAGAGGAAAGCATCACGTAAAGCTTCCTCTCGTGTGTCACGTAAAGCTTCCTCTCGTGTGTCACGTAAGGCTTCCTCTCGTGTGTCCAGATGGAGGGAGGTCATGATATCCTTGAATGCTCTTTAAAGAAAAACAGCTTGATAAGCCACATCTAAGTGCGGTTAGGGAAATAAGTGCTTTTGTATGATGTAGTTGAAGCTAAACACTTATTTTTAATGCATTAGTCAAATAACTTAGAGTATATTGAGGGTAAAATACAAGTTGCTCTTTCTGGCTCAAATTCCTGCATCTAAGTTAGGTTCCCTCCAAGACTCTGTTCTTATCACAGGAACATTTCCTTCTCATGATAGAAAGACACTCCTGATTAAAGATAGATCTTTATTGTTCTTTAGCTGTTGAAAGATTGTTCCAGAAACTATCTGTAATTGTAGAATGTCTGATATGTAGGCAAAATGGGCTTTTTCTAGTTAATGACTCCTACCTGATAAGGGCTAAGACGTATGCCATGAGGTCCTATAAACTTGAGCACATGCTTAGTTTCAAAAGGTGGCTGCATGCATTTGCAAAGTTCCTGCTTTTTCTTTTAGTAGTTGCTCTTCACTGCTGTGAGTGAATGTGGTGGCTCTTAAATCCTGAGGTTTACCCATGTGTCTTTTTATCAGGAACTGCTTATTAAAATTTAGTCATCAGTTAGTATATTTTCAGAAGGCTGGTTTGAACATTTCTGGTTTTGCATTAAGGAGTTGTTGGTATAGAACTTGTTCATGTACTATTCCTAGTGCTTCCTGCTTGCATATTTGGGAAAAAAACAAAACAAAACAAAAAAAAACCCAAACAAAAATAAACCCCACAAAAAACAACCAAAACAACAGCAAACAGAAAACCCCACCCAACACTTTTAATCCTTTTAGTACTCTGTTGCTCATGCCAGCATGGTTTATCTGGTGAAGCATCTTAACTTTTCATGTAGTGATTTAGCAAAATGGTGTTGGGGTACCCATATCCTACTGCATAGAAAATGACTTACTACAGTCCTCATCTGCTGTAGTAAATATTTCTTCATATTAGATAACCTGTGTTTTTAAACAGGAGCTTTGAACCTAGTAAGTTGATATTTGCAGTTCCTGGTAATGAAATGGTTCACACAAGCTGTTCTCTTGCATGTATTCTAGAAAGGGGAACCTCAATCTCCTTTCTGTAAGCGATCCCCATCATTCCTACCTTCTCACCCCAGTCCTGTGTGGTGTCCTGGTCACGTGCAGGTCTGATGTTGGCATACCGAGATACTTCCTAGGGGATTGTTAGGTGTTAGAATTCTGTGTCAACCCGAAAATGCGTAAACAGTCATTATTGCTGTGCTGGGCTTAATGGCAGCTACCTTAATGTGAGCCAGAAGAAAAAACTGGGTCCAACTGAGCATCTGTGTAACCCAGAATCCTGCCTGCAGTTGTTCAGTAACAAATGACACTGTGGCCAGGGTTGTGGTTTTCCCGGAGTGGGGCTTGTCCCTTGTGCTCCCAAGTGCTGACCCAATGATTCCCACAGATGTGAGGTGAGAACCTTCTGTGATAGTGGGGGGCTGCGCTGTGTGCCCCAGATAGGCAGGAAGAAAGTACAGGAATAGGACAATTGTCTAATGGTAGTTCTCTAAATGCTGTACTGCTTTTGGTGATTCAAGGAGTTCCTGAGCTAAAGGAGTTGTTCTCTTATTTCTAATAATTCTCAGTACCATTTTTTTCTGCTAATTTTTGACTTTTGAATTAAGCCACCTCTTCAGTATCCTATGGCAAGGAGCTGTGTGCCTGAACTGTGTGTTGTGAAAGACTACTTGCTCTTTTTTTTCCCTAGCACCTGCCAATTTCACTTGATGCTCTGTCTTACTCTGGAAGAGGCAGCGGGCAAGCTGCTCAAATAGTGTAACCGAGCCTTTAAAAAGAGAAGTTCCTAAACAAACTAACCTTTTGATAAAATAACCCCTTATCTTGTGAGAGTCCCATCAGAATATTGGCTTAGTAGTGTTCTGGAGGCTGTCTTCACCACATGGCAGTAGTATGCAACTTTGATGTAGAATGTTATTTGGTGGTTTATAAGAAAATGGAGGCTTTTGATTTTTTAAGAATCTAAAACTTTAGATGTTTGCGAGTAATAAATACAGAATCCTAAACTTAATGCCATGTTACATTGTACTTTGAATTATCATTGTTATTATTTCCTAGTGCTCAGAGAGTTGAAAGTGTTCTTAACTCTTTTCTTCCACACTAGGAGGCAAGTGAAGCCTACTTGGTTGGCCTGTTTGAAGATACCAACCTGTGTGCTATCCATGCCAAACGTGTCACAATCATGCCAAAAGATATCCAGCTAGCACGCCGCATACGTGGAGAGCGTGCCTAAACTTCACTATGATGGGTTTGTCATTCTTGAAGCAAAATCTTCTTCCTGTTATTGGTAGTAATGAACGTTAGATATTTTTTCCATGGGGTTAAAAGGTACCTAAGTATATGGTTGCAAATGGAAAAATAGGGGACAGAATTGGGTATTGGCAAGTTTTTTTCCATTTTCATTTGTGTGTGGATTTTTAATATAACCGAGGGGACATAAAACATCAATGCGGTCAAAAAAAAAAAAATGTTTCCGTGAACAAGTTTCAACAATTCAACTTTATAAAAAAAAATATAAATAAACCTGTCAAATTTTTCTGGACAATGCCAGCATTTGGATTTTTTTAAACAAGTAAATTTCTTATCAATGGCAACTAAATGGTGTTTGTAGCATTTTTATCATACAGTAGATTCCATCCATTCACTATACTTTTCTAACTGAGTTGTCCTACATGCAAGTACATGTTTTTAATGTTGTCTGTCTTCTGTGCTGTTCCTGTAAGTTTGCTATTAAAATACATTAAATGATGCCTGCTTTCAGTCTTGATTTTTAAATATTACTTGTGGGTTATATTTGATTAAAAAATGATCAGTCTTCCCTTCCCTTTTGCTCTTCAATATGTGGCCTAAATACTTAGAGCAGATCTAGGAAACAGTGGGGATGCTACCTTGGCTGAAGTAATACATATGTGAGGGGTTTTTTTTAAGAGTGTAAAATTTCTGTTTGCTCCATGTGAAAGCAAGTTTGGTGAGTGTATTACCGAGCAGAGCATGGAGCTGGACTGAGCTCTCTACCTAAGCCACAGCGCTAAGGAAAAGCATTTTTGTTGCTGTTTAGATGACTTTCTTACTTGGCTTAATGCTGAATTTGGAAACATTTCTCATTTTCGTAGTTTGTTAGTATAAGTGGTGGGGTGTGGTGGTTCGGGTTTTGGTTGGTTTTTGGTTTTTTTTTTTTTTTAATTTTTTTTTAAACCCTTTTGCACTCTGTTATCTGTTTTCTCAGTTTGTAGGTGTTCACTTTTTGGTTGACTACCTTTCTGTTTCAGTCACACCCTCTAGCATGTTTGAGAGCTTAGTCCATGTAGGGTTAGTTTCAGTTTGTACACTCTAATCAAAAAGACACTTTTGTACCATTTTGCTTAGTTATAATACTTCATAGAAGCAATACTTAGACAGGAGCACAGATTTGAAACTTAGTATTTTTTTTATATCTGCCCTCCTTCCCCCCCTCCCTGCCCCTCAGTTGCTCATGAAAGTTCACATGAAGAAGTTAATTGCTGAAATGTATGTTCTATAAAAACTTGATTTTAATTTTTCACCTTAAACTTGGTTAAGGATTCTGATGGACCAGTCTGGAAATTAGTTATGTGGTGTATGTTTTGATAGCTCTTGCAGGTGGTGATACGAGTTACAGAGAAGAAAATAGGCAGTGAACACAATTCACCTCTATGCTAAGAACCCTACAGAGCTTATTTGCTGCTAACTTCTTTCAAGAGGTTCCAAGTGAGCTCTAAACATGCGAGTGAATTTGAAGATTTCCAAAGAGGATTAATAGAGATTTATTATCTGCTTTGTTATCTTGAACAGAGAGCCAAAAATTACAGAATAAATCACATTATTCATAACTTGCTCAACTCTAGTAATGAATGCTGTCTGCCAGGGTTGTGTGGAGTAAAGTATTTAAATACGGAGTAGCTTGTCACAGAGAAAACTAGTGCTAGGCAAAATGTGATCACATCCTTTTGATGCTAGGCAGTTCATAGCTATCTACTAAAAATTAAGGAAGACTTGTCTTGGAGCATCTGGAGCAACAGAAATATGAAAGGTGAGCAGCTGAGACTTAACTGATGTCACTTCTGTCTACTTGATAACAAACCTGTTAAAGTTGCAATAAATGCATTTCAATATAATTAACTACTTGTTTTGTCCTGTACTTCAGAATTCTGTTTCATGCATCAGTCAACAATGCTGCAACCACCTACACAAAAAGGTAATTAGGCTGATTATTTTGTTTTGTTTGTTTAATAACCTGGAATTGAAGTATTGATAAGGAACTTAATTTTACCTTTCTTAGGTATACTGAAAAACCAAATCTAGAGATTTTGGTACTCAAATGAAATACTGAAGTTTTTTTCTTAAAGAATTGGGGTGAGAAATCTCCCAGTTTAACTGACAATGCAGAAGACAACTGACAAAGGCAGAAGAATTCATAATAGAAGATGAGGGGATCAGGAATCTATGCAGTTGACAACACTGAGGCGTGCAGTGCTACACTTGAATCTTAGGGATAAACTTTGCCTTTTTGCCAGTGTTGGTTATGACGGTTGTGGTCCTAGAGATGCCACATGAATCCTGTTAGGGATTAGGTGTTTGTGTCTATAGTGATACCAAGTGTTGTCTTGGTTTTATTCCTGGGGAATCTTAGGGTACTACTTCCTCATTTGTTTTTTCCAAGTATGATGGATTTTCATTCTTAAGACCTTTCCACTGTTTTGCTGAACAAATTAATCTCTAGCTGTCTCATCCCCTGCCTCGAGTACACACTTTTTGTCTTTACTGTGCAGCAGCATGAAAATAAGAACAATTAAATCATCAACTTTCATTAAGAACTGCTTTTTTTAAATTGCTAGAATAGTCAGTTTTCAATCCAATTTTGAATGGATCTTCTAGTTGATGCTGTTTAATGTTAATGGAGGAAGGGAAGTACAAAAGTGTGGTGGGTTGTTTTTTTCCCTTTCTGCTGAGAGTTTAGTTATTTGGGGTTATATATTTTTTTCCAGCAGATTTTAGAAGCTATCTAAGTATTGTTGACATAACTCACCCAGAGTTGACAGTTCACTTGCACCTGGGAGTCTCTCAAAGACAGGCTCTGCAATAGTGAAAGAACAGAACAAAAATGTGGGGATTGGTGTTAATACAAACACTGCAGAGTAGGAGGAACGAGACCATCTCGAGTTAGCCTTTTTCCTTGTGTCATAGCATTCCCACAAAAATGTTTTTGGGAAGTGGCAGGGGGACGAGGGCTATATAGCAGTGGAGATCCACAGTTAGGACAAGAATGGATTGTTAGAGAAGGTAGGGAGTTAAGTTTTAAGCTGCTGATGTGATGCTGGTACTCCCTCCCTCCTGTCACTTCAGGATTACAGGTTTCTGCTCCCTGGGGGGAAGAAGGGCAGACAAAGTAGTTTTGATCCAGTTACATGCAATGGTGTGGTTTAAAAATAACTGAAGAATTGTGTTTTGATCAATGCGATTTCCCCATTTCACACATTGCCACATGTCTGTTGTGCTGTTTGGAGTGAGCAGTAGCTGCTGGTGGCCCTGTTAGCTGTCTGCATATGCAGGCTTGGGCATCAGCTAAGAAGAAAATCAGCCTGTAGTACAAAGTCTGCAGCCATTTACCAAATAGGTATTGTAGCTTGTCTTCTTACTCTCCTGGGCTGCTTCCTCTGGAGTTGACAGGTGGGGAAATGAGTCACGCGGGGGCAGTTAGCTGACCTACAGGATGGCAATCCGCTAAAACATTTTATTGCTCTTGGGTGTCCTAAATCTTTTGATAAAACAAGGGGTAGTTCTGTCAGAGCTATATGCCTGCTTGTTGGGTGAGATAATTTTTGAGAAAACTATTGACGAACAAATATGGATTTAAAATAACCTAAGGGTTTGGTTCGTTTGGGGTTTGTGTTGGGTTTTTTTTTGTTTGTTTTGGGTTTTTTTGGTTTTTGTTTCCAGAGAAGGACTCTCTTCCTCAGCCAATTTTGCAAACACTGTTTAAAATGTTATAAGATTCTTAGTATCTACAGTAGCCATATGTTGACGAAATTGTAGTATTTAAAAATGTAAATTCCTGTTAATTTGTGTTCAGGAGTTGTGGGGAAAGAGAATACTATCAAACTTGAATGTGGGCTAATTTAATGGTGACAGAAAAATCTGCTTGAGTCACAAGTGATGCATTCTCTGCAAAAAGAAATTGTGGTTTACATGTGAGAGAGATGTAATACTGATTTAAAGCATTCTCATTCTGTGAAAGAAGTGGCTTCAGGTTCCCCTTTCACATCTGAAAAAAAAAAAAGTAAGCTGAACATCAGTTCCTAAAATAGTTTACCTCTTTCCCCATAGCAATTCTGCTACTTTTTGGGCAATTCAGTTTCAACTGAGATTTTGAATACTAGAAACAAGTTGTGGTCATGTGGACATCCTCCTGGGGAGGAGTTTATATTGGGTGGAGGGATGGACGTGATGCGGTTCCTTACTTGTTAGTGACAAAGGTTGAACATCTGTTTAAGGCATATTGTTGCATGTATGTCCACACTGCAATTTCTGAATGATTTTATGAAGTCCTTTATAATGCATATGTGATGAGCTTTTTTTTTAGGTCTTTGTTTTAGATTTAGGGATATCAACAGCAGCATTTACTTGATGTTTTCTCAAGAGTAAATACAAAACCTTATTTTAAGTTGGATGCTTTGTATTAGCAACACAAAAAGCAAGCTGCCTACCAGAGACAAAAATTAATGTATTACTGAGAAATAACTTTAGACACAAGATCAGTCTCTCTTGTGTGGCTATATCAAATTTAACTAGTAGCTCTTGAGAGCTTGACTAATGTGGAGCTTAAACTCAGCATTTCAGTTTTTGTTTAGAAAAGTGAGAAGTAACTTGTTGAATATAAACAAAGGCATACTTTAAGTGATGCATTGCTGAGCTGGGTTCATCCAGCCCTTTATCCCATCTGGCAGTAGCTATTAGGTGATGCCACTGTCCAGGGACCAGATTCATTAGTGCCTGCTCAATGACAGGTCGTAGCACCTACTTGAAAATAGTCATGCCATCTTGTTCAGGAAGCAAAGTGCAACTGTTTCTGTTAAAATAAATGATCACTAACAGTCTTTTCACTGGTGATTTTTTGGGATGTGTTTTGTAATTTGGGATTACTGTCCCAGGACGTGCGTTCTTGCCCTCTGATTTTCACTGGGTTTTGTGACCACTTAGTGATTTGAATCCACTTTTTGATGCGACTGAAAGCAGTGTGTCTCACACACGTACTTCATGTGCCACTGTTTTTGGTCAGTTAGCCAAATAATTTGACTCAGCATATCTGCTTGACCTGAAGTGGTAGAGCAGGCAGGAGAGTAGGACCCTCCATTTCTTAGCAGAATACAGTTTAGGTTCAGTTTCGCAATGCGCTTCATCCAAGCTTTAACACCTGTGCTGCCATTCTAATACCAGCTTTTCCTGCCACACTAGCCTCTGTTAAGACTCCGTGATGGGTTACTTCAGTTTATCTTCTGAAGCTTAATTTGAAATTCAAGGTTTAATGAAGTACAGGCGGTGTTCACATCAAAGATGTTGGTTGCATTCTTTAATTTTGTTTCTTACTATAACAAACACATGCAACTTTTCTTGGTCTTCATAATGAGTAAGCAGTTAAAAACACTTTTCAAATAACTTGGCTTCAAAGGCTTGAATTCAGAGGAGGAATTCTAGTGTCAGGGAAGTTTTTCCCTGGTCCAGATCACCCTGTT